CCTTGCTCGTAATAACTTCCACTTCCACTGACGAGCATGGTCTTCAGACATGCCTGTGTAACGCCCTTTTGGCAAGACACGGCAAAATTATCGGGCATTTCAGTTGGCTTTTATACGCGGCACTGGTAAGCAGCGAATGCATTAAGCGTCAATTTACCACCCCCCCCCCCCTCAGTTTCCCTTTTCCCTCCCGCCTTGTGGCTCTTAGCGCATATAGTCCCAAATGTTCATATCCATCCCGAGGACAACACCACTACATAACTGCCAACCACATGGTTTGCCGTTTGGTCAAATACGTATGCTTCGGTTCAGTGGTATTTTCGTTAAGCCAGCTAGTGCAAAAATTGTCAGCACTCTGTTAAGTCCTTGCTTCCTTCGTTTTTTGTTGTTTTTTATTTCTTGACTCTTGTACAATGTATAATGAAGAAGAGCAGTAGAAGTAAATACAAACCCAAAAGGAAAAGAAGTAGATGCTTTTGCATAACCACGTCAAAAATACATTTGACATTCACCACAGAAAGAAAATAGTAAAATTTTCATGACGGGCATTAACAAATTTTTTTTTACAACTCGAATACTTCAGGCGACGCAAATCTAGCCTCCATTCGATATGTGGGCTGTATAGCTTTGGCGGTCATAGTCTATATATACGTAATTATCACTGTGAAATTACAAGTGTGATCGAGGGCGGCGGCAACCCGAGAAACGCTCCGTCAAGTGGCCGCACCAAAAAGCTAAAAACAAGATCGCGCTGTCGTCAACGTGTTAAAGGAGGATTCTACGATGGCGCAGTGAATGTGGGAAGAACTTGCAAATTCGAGCTCTGAAGTGTGGACAAAAACGAGGTAGCAAAACAAATAAGAGACGTCTCCATACAGCAGCGGCTAGATGAGCCGCAAATCAGGATCGGTGCGCACCTGAATGAAGCCAACCCTTCATTTTATGCTCCTCCTCTCCTTTTCCTTCCCCCACCCTTCCCCACCTCAGCATCTCCCTTCGTTACATAATTTAAGCCTTCACCGGTACGCTGTTTTGAACTTGGGGCGCATTCGTAGGTCGTTCATGCTACTGAGCATTCAATTTCCTTGGGTTCACCAAGTGGAACGTTTCCAGTTACCTCCAACAATGCGAATTTACCATATCAAGAGCGCTCGGATAACACCTCGCTCAGAATGGCAGGTGTGGCGTGCACCGAGGTGGGCGGAGTTTGCCAGGCAGCATTGTAAAAATATCGATGGCATTGTTTTCTACCACTGCAGTCACATGTGATCATTAATAGGGCCCTGACTCTTCCCACGGATTCAGATTTCTACCTAGCCCTCATGGTTGTTCACAGAAAACATAGACACCGATTATCTAGGAATTTTTATAATATTTCTGTTAAATTATTAGTATTATTTATTATTGTTAAGATTATTATATATTATTTAGAAACAAAAAGATTTTTATGATTTAGTGAAGGTTTACCGAGTTTCACCTCTGTTGACGTGATGCGGTTGCGAGAGCATCACGGCATTACGGTTTACGAAGAGCCGGTGGACGCCGTTGCACTCGAAGACATCAGGACGGACTCAGTTAGCGAATCAAATGAGAGTTATCGGTCACGTCAGGTAGTTGCATTGCTCCACTGCCTTTTTTCAAATTATCCTATTGACAGAAAATTATTCCGTCCTCCTTTTTCCGATGATTAGTAAGCTAGCAATTGAGCCACGATGTCACGAGGCCGACTCAGCCAGTGCATGTGGCCTAACCTTAGGTTGCCAAGACGCAAATTCATAACAAAGCAGTTTGTGGTTACGCTAGAGATAAGCAAAGCGTCGGGGGAAGTACTTGAATGAGACCCCTCCTTCCCCGTCACAGCAAGGCTCGCTATGCAGAACTCTTCTGCTAGAACTTCACATGAAGAAAAGTGATTGCTGCCGCAACATCTACATTGAGATTGGAGCGATCGCGTAATGTGCTAGAGTGGAGCTTAAACGCAACAATTAGATAGTTTAAAGGCACGCTCCGCGATCAGGCGGGCTCGCCTGTTCCATCCAGGGGGTAGTAGGCAGGTGGACAAGTGTTGATGTCGGGCCCCTTTTGCGGCTTGAAAGTGCGCGACAAAGGCGCAAGGAGCTCGTCCAACCCGCAACTCACACCTTCGTCCGCAAGCCCCACCCTTCGCTGTCGGTTGCCACGTGGCGCTGCTTGAAAAGCGCGGGCGCATTTGAGGCAGCGGTCCCAGCGCGATCCAATGTTATTGACACTGGAGCAAGTTAGGTTCGTGAAACTCGTCCAATTCGCCTCTTCTCTATCCCAAGGTGGAATGTGGCTGAAATAGGGGAGGTCTCTGTACGGGCGTAATCGGTTTATGTTTGCTTCTCCTTACTCTTCTCACAGACACCTCCCACCTACATAGCCTTCATAAATGAACCGTTTTCCAACACCCGCCTAATTTCGCAACCGATTCCCTTGTCTTTAAAGGAAATCTTGCGCGGAAAATTCTTGCACTCTTTCCTAACATGAATATGTCAGTTGTGATCACTGGAAATAGCACACAAAGTTTCACGCATGAAGATTCGGTTTCTGAAGAGAAACAAACGTACAAAAACTACACGTTATGGACCATCGAAGGACCAGGAGGCAGAGCCAGGCGAGGCATGGAAAGAAGACGGCGTTTGGCCGGCTACGTACCAGGCGACGCAATGAGAGAATCGGGTTAAAGCGCGCGATTTCGGAGAGTGGAGACAAATCGATCGATGGAATAGGATGGAGTAGAAGTGTAAGATGTGAATGCAACGAAGCAGAAGGCCAGAAAGAGCTTCTAGTGAATGCACTCCAAGAACCAAGTTTGAGCATCCCATTATACGAAGTTATAAAAAGAAAAAGTCCGTAGAATTAAAATATATATTTCGAGTTTCGAATCTTCTAATCTAAAACGCAATAACTCAGTTCTTTCACTATGTATCATAAGAGATATGGGTCATATCAGCCAGTGATATAATAGCTGATAGATATATCAGATTCTCCGCGCAAATTGCTTTAAATGAGTGATAACGAAATACAGCGCGCAGAGGTGTAAAAGGAGAGTCCTGAAAAGCCGTGGAAAACTGAACTCGGACCTTCACTCTGCTAGTTTCAATTCGACGAGCTTACGCTTGATCATTCACGATTAGCCTTTTTGGGTGATTTTTGCGCTTCAGGGGGGGGGGGGTGGTCTAAAGAAAAGGAAAGTCCCAGAGGACGATGATTGTCATGAATACAAAGGGCCTAGAATCTCCACACCTTCGTGAAACACCAGAAATGGGGCACGGAGGACCGCGCAGAAGAAACCTTCAACAGCGAGATGGGCGGACAGTTTAGTATGAAGCCTGCAGTGTTCATGAACTACGACGCTTGCTGCAGGAAACTCCACATAACATCCGTTTATTACGTATTTAGCTTATAGCTCCTATCTATCGCTCCCACTTGCGCATATAATTCCGTGGTACAGTCCCACTTTATCGCACCTAGCGCCTTTAAAATTGTGTATATTTTCAAGCGACCATAATTTTCTAGCAAACCGAACTAGAAACAAGCAAGATTGCCTTTGGAAATTCCTAATGGATTCAATTTCTTGAGATATTTCTCGATCGACAGCTAAAAACTGGAAAATGACTGACTTTTCGGGCGAAATAATCGGAAATACTTATCGAGACAAGGGAGTTTTCTGCATTCAGGGTCATAAATTCCTTTAGAAGCATTCATTTCATCTAATGTTATCATGCAAGTAGTACGTGAAAGCAGTGCAGTAAATGATACCGTTAAGGTGTATTTCGCATCACTAGCGTACAGAGGTACCCATTCGTTGATACGGAAGGGACACTCAAGGAGTATTCTATGAAACCGTAAAACAATTCTTTTCAGACACGAGTCCTGTGCGAAGCAAAATTTATGAATCAGTGCGCATGGGCGAAAGGATGTTTTTTGCCCCCAAACATAGTAATAGAAATATAGAACGGACGCAAGATATAGAATTTCGGTTTTGCATAGAGGTTTCCCGCTCACCCATCATGAACACAAAAACCCGCCTCAAAAATAACTACACAAATAAATAGAACAACAAAAATAAAAATAAAAAATAGAGATAGTTGTCTATATCGAGCTAAATATAATAAATTAAATTCGATGAGTAGAAACTGAGAAGCGACCGCCATGGTACGACTTAATCAGAAGACGGACGCGACGTATTCCAACGTACCGAGTCGCGACTCCTGACTCGACAGATATTCGCAGAGCGCTGCTAGCTCTGTTCCATCGGACTGACACTCCCCCTCGACCAACCGCACCTCATGCCGAAGCAAAGCGCAGACGAAGTGCCGAGTTCTACGCTAGTAATAAAAAAATACATATATATATGGCGTTCATAGCTATTGGGGAGAGGGACATTAAGTGAGTAAGAACTATATGGAACATACACTGTTTAGGGAGAGTATGTCAGCAATATTGTTCCTCTACACAGTTCCTCCTTATTGGCTTACTACCTAATGTCACCCTACCAGCAAGATATATATAGATATATATGAACGTCAACATATCAACCCCAAAATATATATCACAAGGAACTAACATTCTTTGTGTACACTGACTACGTTACTCTCATTATATTATATAATATACATTGATAATCTAATTCAGGACCAAACTAAGGGTTGCAGCACGGAAGGCAGAAGATAATATATTTTTATTAGTACTTGCTCAAGATACCATGAATTATTCATCTAAATTAGATATATATAAGAAAATAATATGATATATTATATAATACAATATCGGCGTATAAGGGACACTATTTAACAATACGAAGTCACAATAAAAAAGGACCATTCGAAAACTAGAGGTTTTGAAAAAGAGGCATTAGTTTGCCGCACGAGGTAGTATAACATGCACTAGTTAGCTCTAAAGCGCTATACAACGTGAAAGGATTCATATGTTTCTACAAGTTATACGATTACAAATTATCTTAGCAAACAACAGCCTCACTCGACCAGCCGCTTTACTGCCTCTTTTAATTCGTCCACAGAAGTTATTGGAGGACCGCAAGTGAAATTGCTACAAATGAACACAGTTGGTTCCCCTCTTTTCAGCATTTCCGCATAAACTGGAGATCGCTCAGTAAAATAGGAGTTATCTGAAATGTATCCTGAGTCTTCAACGTGAATTCATTGATAAAAGAAAGATTGCAAAAAGAAACTCACCAACACTGGGATCCAAGGACACGACCAAGCTGTTCCAAATATAGTGGGCATTTATTTCTTTTTGGAAACTCTTCACGATTTCATTCGACGCTTCACCAACAACAACAATCTGGAAACACAAAGGCTCTCAAAGTTCCACAAAGGGCTAACGACAAAAAAAGGGCTAACGACGTAAAATTGATCATGGCTGAAGTACACAAGGCAAAATGGGGAGCGTATACTTTGCTTAGCGATAAAACTAACAACAAACAATGCCGCTCTTAAGATGGAAGACGTTGGCATTGTGACATGAGTAAGGTGGGGCAAAAAATGGTTGTTTGTGCTGCGCTACCACTCTGACTCGCAACTGATACCAGCCTGATCGCTCAAAATCAAAACAATAAATATTATCAAAAGAATATCCAGAAAATAAAAAATAGTTCGTTTCGCAATGTGCAGCTTGGCAACAAAAACGGTCACTATTACCATTCCATATGGGAGCAGCGTGCAAAGCACGAATGGCGTGGATGTTTTGTCCTTATTTCTAATCCGCTGATATCGTTCCACCTAACTTCCAACTACCTAACTGAACGCATCAATTTATGACATTCACGATGGCCCACGGTGCATGGGACATAACGGGGTCGTGGAGCCCTGGTTGATGGGACCGTGTTTTCACTTTTGTAACGATGTCCGCTAGGTGTTCGCATTGAAGGAGGATTCCACGATAAGAACGAAGGTCAAAGAAGGGAAAATTGCCTAGTTGGGAGACAGGCGGACCTCCTGAGGGTGCTGACCGACGCGCAATTGGCAGCGAAAGATTTGACCTCGGCGATCTAGCATGGCTCACTCTTGGCGCAGTTGGCGCGGTACGCCCACCGACATAGCAGAGAGAGCGTTAGCGTTGAAGAGGGCACGATGAGAGTCGCATCAATGCGGAAATCAACGGGCAAGGAAGGGGTCCCATTTCTCGGGTTCTGGGCCGTTTCTCATGGTTTTTCCTTCTTTCGTGTACCACTCACCATCCCTATTAATTGCCTTTCCAGCGTGAATTCGTCCTTTAAAATGAGCAAGTGATAGATAACAGCTCACCTTCGCCGAACCCTTCAGCATTCGATGGAAGTTAGGGTATCATCTTCGTCAAAATATAAGGATGCCTGAATGAAAGAGGTAACATCAAAGTGTACAAATCTCAGTGAGAACTACTTCTCAGAACAGCATCTCGATAACACCTCAGTATTAGAATTCCTATTCAGATTCTATAGTATATTCCTATATAACGAGACTTCCTATATAACCAACCTCGACAGCCTGGCAGAACATGCCCCAATTATCTTCTCAGCCTTCCGCTTATATTCGCTTACATCAAGAATATCGAATAGACGCACTAGATTTCCCACGGCCACTGAATTAGCACAAGGTTCGGCACCGTCCTGATCTGAAAACAAACTGTCACGTAATGCTCTACTCGACCACAATACACACAACAGTCAACAGCAAAAATATAGGGTTGCCTATGATTGCAATAAAGTTTCAATACTTTGGAACAGCTCGGATCCACTCTGATGTCTCTCTCCTCCTTTGAGCTCATCATTTTCCTAGTAATCCATACTTCTTTCACTTCTTCAACATCAATCGCCCGTTATCTCTACGCCCAGCAGATCACTCTTTAGGGTCCTCATTGTACAAGTTCCGGCCTCATCCATGTTGACTCCCCTCATGATAGTATCTTTTTCAGCCTACACCAGCATCAAAGTTCTTTCGACTTTAACTGATCCTATCAGTGCTCCTCTTGATCCAACTTGCCCGAAAGCCCTACTCGTTTTTCGTATCTGAGCTGAGTGATGAAGAAAATCCGAAACTTCGTTCTACGCTGACATCAGTGGATACGTTCGCTACCGCACCTGCTTTCTGAATGAGAAGTGAGGTTAACTGGTAAAGCCATTCCTAGAAGATCTCGGATGCTAAAAATAGAAACCGCAATACATAGACAGCAGCGGTAATAAGTGAGCTTTGAGCAAAGAGTGGACTCGCAGTCGCTCGCAACTTCTTTGAGCTACTGGGTAACACCATTTGTCCCATCTTCCGTGTTGCAAAGCCCTTGCACAGTTTTGACACTGATTCAAAACTGGACGTGCTCGCTTTGATGGTGTGAATTGCGCACTCATATTCGAAATGCCAATGAGTTTTTAGCTGTCGTAACCGACTCGTCACAAGTAAAGCGACAGTTATCGTGGAAAAATTAATAAGGTATATCGCACCGCACAACCATGGCACATGTAGCGTGTAATGACTCCAAGACAGGTACTTTTCAGGACTTCACACTCAGCCACATAATTGTAGTATATCTTTGGTCGCCCTTAATTTTGTATAGGAGGCGCCAGGCATGCACGCCAGAGACCGGAAGGACGCTATTCATGAGCGTCAAAAAAAGTCTGAGGCGACTATTGCGGCGATATCCTCACGAAACATGCTATTGGAGATTGCTAGAGCGCGGTCAAGAGTTCGAGCAGAGTCCAATTGGTGCGGATTGAGTGAAACTCAAAGACTAGCTATACGACACTAGCATACATTATCCAGAGCAGATAGATAAATGGATAAAGGATAAAGCATTTGCCGTTGATCAATCCCGTTTTGGGGATGCGGCACGCATTCTACTTCCATTTGTACATTCGCAGTGGCATTTGAATGCGATGTGGCCTATACAATGACTTGCGGGGGCCAGCCGATGTTCAAGTCAGTGTTTTTATCCTCCCAGACAAGTCTGGTACCAATTAACCGACCCCGGAGGGATGGAAGGCTTGGTTGGCCCGGGCGACTCACGACCCAGGATTTGATCCCGGACCGCTCGCGTGGTGAGCGCGCCACTTGTCACTACACCACTTCCGCCCCAACAGGAGAAAAGCTGACGAAAACTCGATAGGGCAGAAGCGTCAGAACCCACAGCGCTCTAACTATGCGCTTGCTAAGTTACTCTCAGTTGATGATGTCGATAGCCATAAACATCTAGGTTGATCGCACGGAATGATCCCCTATTAACCCGATTGACGACCTGTCGTGCCCGCCGTGGCCCACTTTCCGGCCACTCGCTGCCGCTTGCCGGTGGCGGCTCGTTTTTCGTGGTTATTTCAGCATTTTTCATGTTTCAAAAGCACACATATACATTATCGAATCCGCGAAATAATGCGCTAATTACTACAAATAGAATTTTTGTAGAGTTAATAATTACTGATGAAAAAATTTGAAAAGAAGTGAAGTGACGCATGCATAACACGCGGTCGTCAAAGGGTTAAAATGGGTATTCGTATTCTCAATCAAATTGCCGATTTACATTTCAAAAATGCTCATTCGATCGGTGGTGGTGTGGTGTGGTGTGGTCGATCGTCAATCAAACTTCTACAGGAGATTGTTTCGAGACGCATATTCGACATGAACCAACACACAATCGATAGACACTTAGTGTTTATTAAAAGTCAATGTCTAAGTTTAAACTAGAAGCGCTCCTGTGTGCCAGCCCTGTGTACTTAGCAGATAAAGAAAGCACCGACTTGAAAAGTAGGAAGAATCTTCAATGACGCGCAACATCCAAGAACGAAAAGATGTCGATTGTACATGTCGTTTCAAGCAACATAAATTCACGCTGTACGAACGAGATGGTGGATAGAGGTCATACCACAGTATCACCTGGCGCTAATACTCCTAAATCTACTTGGTGTTTTCTCCTGTTCCACAATGACACATGTACATTATTGAATCCGAAAAACTACATCTACATGACTGATAACAAAACCGCCGAACGATTGATGGCTTTTGAGACAGTACGAAAAATGTTGAAGTAGTACGCGCATAACGGCGGTCGCCAACGTGTTTGCAGACACATTAAAGAAAACGGGTAACTATGCGGGTCGGCAAACATAAACCGAAGATATCAAAAAAGGAACCCTGAGAAAAAACTTCTGAGACCGCAGTGGCCAGGGCGGGAGACCAAAGAAAAAGACAGAGAGATACTACAGTGCGTTTCAAAAGTATGTGCACACCCTCAAAATTCACGTTTTGAAAGGGAACCATGAGGTTTCGTGCTATGAAATCCTTCTCAATCGATTTCTCGTAGTCGATAACCTATCAATGGAAGCAAAGCAGATAATATCGCTTCACTTTCGAAAAAAAATTTTGGATGAAATTTTTTTCTTTGTTTCAAAAGTATGTGCACACTTAACAAAAGACAAAAACATAGCTGAGATTAGAAATCAGTGGGGCCTCCAGAGTTTCTAATTAGCTCAAACATCCTGTCCGGCATAATCTGAACCACGTTTGGCATAGCTGTTTCGTCGCTGTCGGCCCAAATAGCCTCTACCGCCGCCTTCAGTTCATCCGCGGTATTATACTGCCGGTTGCTAAAGTTAACGCCTTGATCAAGGGCTCCCTATAGGGTTGCAGTAAGGAGACATTACACGCCAGTGTCCTATCCTATGTTGCCATGTCTGTACGAGCAGACTCCAATGTGGCTAACTTGTGCTGGGCCCTTGAAGTGAGTAGCCTTTCTCAGCGTCTGTCGAGTGGTGTATTCATTTGAGCGGATGAGGGGCTTAGTGGTCATTTTCGAGGCTGGAATAAAAATCTGAGCTCGGACTGTCAATGAAGAATCCGACAGGATGTGGGCTACTCTTTTGTTGTTCTGAGCAGTCAAGGATCGTGGATGGAGCGGAGTGTGTGCTGAGTATAATTATCAGGGTGCCAGATAAATCTTCGAATGCATTAAGGAGAACGACCAAGTTATCGTGCGATTTCTAGATTGGAACGTTCATTATCATGCAGAACCTTGATCTGAGCTTGCTCATCTTCAGGAAGAAGTATGGCGCGAATTGACATGATGACGAAATGAAAACAGCAAAGTCGGATTGAAATCGGGAAAATTCGGCGCCAAAATCTGATCTTCTTCAAGTGTGCACATACTTTTGAAACAAAGAAAAAAATTTCATCCAAAAATTTTTTCCGAAAGTGAGGCGATATTATCTGCTTTGCTTCCATTGATAGGTTATCGACTACGAGAAATCGATTGAGAAGGATTTCATAGCACGAAACCTCATGGTTCCCTTTCAAACGTGAATTTTGAGGGTGTGCACATACTTTTGAAACGCACTGTACTGGTGTAGCAGACATCGTCAAACTGTGAAGGTAACTCGTCTACGTTAGGACCAGCACCGCGAATTCCTTGACTGCTCGTGACATTATCTACGCATTTGGCTGCAATTGGCAACCGCCTTTTGACGAATAAGGCCCCTAAGTAACATCCTAATTATTTGAAAAAGACAGCATTGTGCCATCTAACTCACAAGATGAACAAATGCATTCACATTCATACATGATAAGGCTTAGAGAGCTTCTACGGTTTTCGTATCAGTCAAAACTTGTTGCAATTAGTAGTGTCAAGTACTTAGAGACGAATGGAAAGACATTCCACAGAAGAACGCGAAAATTGAAAGAATACAGAGCAACAAACCTTCCATAACGCGGACTTTCACATCAGCTTGTTCACTGGCAATATAATAACCGCTTTCGTTCTCAGAATCCCAGAACAGAGAGTCCTTAAGATGCTCCTTTGAAAAAAGTAGGTAGTAACACGAATACTGAACGATATACCATCTCATTTTGCAAACGCTCAGCCATTTCCAAATACTGTACAGCTGCAGTAGCTTGGTAGAGGTCCAGAAGACCTTGAATGAGGAAAGCATAGTCGTCGGAGAATGCATGCGTTGGAGTACTACTGGAAGCATCAATTGTACTCCATCAAGTTAACAAAACAGAAAAGAGCTCACGTAGTCTCCACGTTGCCATCATCTCCTCTATAGGCTGCTCGCAACAGCTGTCCCTTTTCATCCATCAGATAGCGCTTTACAAAATCGACTGTCTTCTTGGCTCGCTCAAGGTAATCCTGACACGCTAACGCAATCGATGCCTGAACCAGACATATACCAGCCCAAGATCCATGATAATCAGGAACGACTGAGAGCCCCGCATGGACTCAATGCCCCCTCAACTGCGGACCAAGCCTATTTTTCTTTCGAGTTGGCTCCGATTCTGTGTCATAATTTTCCGTTGTATGTCTCTAATTCATTCCTACTTCATTGCCGAATCACTGCCAACTCACCTTCACAAATCCAGATATAGCCAGTCCTTGCCAAGAGCAAACCATTTTCGAATCCAGGTGAGGTGCAGGTCGCTTAGAGCGTGCCTCGGCCAAAATCAGCTGGAAATATTATTACATGCTAGGTGTTATCTATGAGTGAAAATGATTTTCAAACATACTCAGCGTTTATATATGACACAACAACCTAACCGTTTATATATGACACAACAACCTAACCGGAACCGGGTTGGGAGGAAAAGGTTTCTTTGGAAGAGGGCTCCACAATACGGGCAAAAGTCGAGGATGGAGAAACTTATCTAGTGAAAAGAGAGGCAGACCTTTCAAGGGTGCGGCCAGACATGCAATTCGCAGCAAGGGATATGCCGGCGCTCTATCATGGCTTTCACCGCGACTCAATAGGTGCATCATTGGCGCGGTACGCCCCCTCTTGGTTTCGGGTCTGAGTCTCGAGCCATTCAGCAGAGAGAGGGTTAGCGTCGAAGAGGACAGTGTGTATGAGAGTTGCACCTTTGCGCAACTTTTATGACAGTGGCGAGGAGGAAAAAAATAATTGCACTTGGTAAACCGAACTCTTCTGCAAACTCATCATGAGACTGCTTCATTCGTAAAACATTTTTACGCTGCAGCTCTCCATGCGGGTCCTAAAATCTCATAATATGGGTTTAGTTTTGAACTTCAAATTCTTAGAATGAATCATGGTTCGGAGCAACTTTGCTTTGATCACCTTGGATCGGCTCACGTTCCCTTTCTCATGAACATCGTAGTATCGACAAAAAAGATTTACAGCATCCTTGTCCTCAATTTTTAAATCCTTCAATAATTCACTGATCTGAAATTTTGCTCATCATCAACGATACACAAGGACAAGAATTCACAAAGGAATTGTTGCACTTACTTCCGACATTTCCCACACACAAAACGCTCCTTCTTTCTTCTCGCTGGCATTACCAGTTGGGAGAGAGTCAGCATCTTCTGCAGCGTAAAATCCACCTTCCTAAAGTCCTTTTGCTTTACTGTATAAAACATGCACTATATTGAAATTGTTCACAAATACTGGGCTGATTCCCCATCTTGCGCCCCCCCCCCCCCACTTCCTCCCATACACACTCAGAAGTATGAATACCAATGATTTACTTATTGTAATAGATCCTACTTACTATAAAGTGCTTCGTCTTCCTGCCGGTCTGTGTGTCTGTCGCGAAATTCAGTACTACCTTGAGATCCACTTGGATAGGACCAGGTCAAGTTTGGGGTGGAAGGGCCATGACCCGAAAAGCACAAAACGCACACCCGCTAAGCGGAGCTCCGAACACGGTGAGCGTCCGAAATGAGCACAATCGAGAACGAATTCGTAATTTTATTCAAAAATAGCCTGTGGACCAGGAAAAAAGGATAAAGGTATTGTTGATAAGCCAGGTTGAATGAGGGAGACCCACTTGCGGTGGGCGGGGTGTTCTCTAAAAAGGTGGTGCTTTCGGAGGTGTTCCCAGCACATCTGAACCTAGAAGAGGATCGTCTATAGCAAGGCGAGGGTGCCGTTGACTGGGCAGTTCTAAAATTCCCTATAATTCGGTTCTGAGATATCCCAGATGCCGAGGAAAAGTGGTTTAGGATTTGGCGAGGAAGAAAAGGTCAATGGTGATGGTGGGTGTATTAAAGGCAAAGGTCAGGATTAGTGGTTCGTCTGAGTAAGAGGCGAAACGAACCACCTCTTATTCTTTACTCAACAATTTTAAATTGTTAGTTATTTAGTTGACCAACCAACCCTTTCGGTCATGCCTGTACTTGGTTACGCACCCGTAGAGATGTTCCCACGCTCAAAATCTCGAAACGGCGCGGTAATAAGGCCCCAGGGCACGTACTATGCGCTATCGCCGCCTGGCCCCGCTACGACCGCCCACCTTGGGATGTGGTGCATGGCTGGCATAACGTGTGAAATCAGCTAGGTTGATTGCCGTATCAACCGATAGAACGACTGATATCTTCAGAAAACTTGTTTGTACGTGCCTCTTCCCCAAGCCAGCCTCCTTCATTGCTAGTGGGAAAGAGGGTTTTGTTAACGGCCTTGTCGACGGTTTTTCTCAGTTTTTTCTCCACTGTCGTTCTACACTTCGCATCTCTATACTCAGTTTCAATCGCCATAATACCCCCTTATTGAGCCCGACTTTTGCCTTTAAAGTAGAAAGGTCTACCAACCAAACATATAATTGGATGTTGAGGGAGACGTGTAAAAAATTGGACGGTCCGGTAGTCGAGAAATAAAAGCCAAAAAAAATCGGCTGCGGGCCAGGGGCGAGTCCTATCGTTGTTACTTTTTCAAAATTTTTTACGACCCCCTCCCCCAAGGTGGACTTGGTACGACCCCCTTTTCGACCCTCGACCACCATATTCCTCTCTATAGTATTTAATTCTGGTACCACTCAACCCACCAAACTCCGCCCACTTTTCCTCCAAAAAATGCCGTCGAGCGGGGGGGGGGTATATACGCACGCTGAAACGGCGAATTTTTCTCCGTGCGCTCCCAACTCACCTAGCCTACTACTCGTGGAAAACTCGAGTTTCACCACAAACTGAAGCGGAGGATACGACCCCCTCACAAACTGAAGCGGATACGACCCCCTCCAAGCTCAACCGAGTACGACCCCCGTTGGTACTTGTACCAACGTAGGGTTGACCGACAACTGGTATTTGATTTCGAAACGCAGCTTCACTCTACACCCCTCACCCTCTTAACTGAACTCTTAACAGTGTCGTGTGGAACACAGATTTTGTGGTGGTCCGAGCGTCCCGACAAAAGTTCGTCGCATGACCTCAGTGAGCTTGCGCATTTTTCTCGACGTTAAAAACCAACATTATGGGTTGTAACGTTGCGCACCATAGCGCCACGCTGAAGAATCGTTTTCGTAATAACTAGAAATAGCTTTATTATCAATTATCTATTTATCGGTACACATGCGTGTACGAAGATTGCGAACGGATCTTATCAAAATTATGCAGAATTAGCTGCAATCGCCTATGACGCCCGTAGTGCATTTCTTAGACGTTTTCGTTTTTGTAACCAATAATTACACTTCCCCTGACAGCAAATTAGCGGGAAGTCTACGCTCCTATGTGTGTCATCGGAAGCTGCTCCCGGGATGCAGTTAACTATTCACATGCGCTTCATATTCAAAATTTCGGTGCCAGCAGTTATGCAGAATAAAGTTCTGCACTGAAATTATCTGCAAAGAACACCACTAAATCCAAATAAAACGACTTCCATACCACCAACATTCCTGGCTACATAATGACACGAAAAACAACGACGCCTCTATGCACTCCACATTATTTTCTTCGAATTGAAGCGTCGTTCTGCCATGTTCAGACTCCGATTCCACTCTAACATAGTTTTTTGATAACTGTCAGTGAGCCTATCCCAAGACCAGTCGATTATTGATAGGTCATCCTCTTATAAGCAGTTGGTGTGACAAAACCAATAACGGACGTCTCTTTTCAAAGCTATGTCCGAATCTCGACCTTAAGGACCCTCTCTTAAAGCAAACTGAATGCACAATGAACTATTAAGTTCAGACAAATCTAAGAACACTAGGCGATTCCCGCGGTAGCTAGACAGAAATCAAAGAGTAGCAAAGTGACAGAGAACATTTCAATTCCTTGGATTTTGGTGCTAAACTTGCCCTTCATTATAGGTGTCTTAAATGCTTAGCGTGACTGCAACGTTACTGTTCGACAAATCCAGTGCTACTGGTTCATCTCGAAACTGAGGCCGGTTGCATTCCGATGCGCCGTCCCGGCGGGGTGACGATGAGCCAATTGCCCCTATCCCTTATTTGCCTTCTATTCTAGTTCAGCCGTTTCGTCGTAGAATACAGTGTACCCTTCTGCTAGTGGTGAACGGAACTCGGTTCGCGCCGAAATTGGGTAAAACGCAGCGGATAAGCGTGCTATACTCGACCATGCTCCTCCACAGTAGATGGCGTGACACATAGATGGATTAATTCACACATTTCAGCAGAGATATTACCTTGACTTTCTCGTCACATCCGTGCCAAAATTAGTTCAACTTACGCGGTAGCAGCGATCAACAAATGACACTTGCCGCATTTAACGGTGTAGGTAGAATACGTACCTTTCTACTGTATCTAGCAAGAGCGCAGCAGCTGTGTGGACGTATTCAGTATGCGCTACATTTAGAAACCAAAATGATGATTACCTTGTTGATAGGCACCGTTCCATGGTAGTAGGCGGATATCCTGCTACAACGCCGTTGAATTTGTTACCAAAAGACGACAGTAGCTGGGATTGATCATACAACATCTTCTCGAAATGGGGCACGTGCCACTCCTCGTCAACCGAATAGCGGTGAAAGCCCTAAAGTATGAAGATTCGTTACTGCAATTACGACTTTGATAGGCTCCTTTTCTGGTGCAAGGTAATGATAACCAAGCTACACATCAGTGATGCACCTGCAGCTTTAGCTTTTGCAGTACAGAGTTACTCTCATCATTAGGTCTCTCAAGAAGTGCTGTCGTTTTCTGTCACTCCACATTTGGATGCTTCATTTTCCTTGAAATCGGGAAAAAACTGCCAATTGTATGGATCATTTTGAAGAGCTTTTCCTGCTCTATCCAACGCTTAGCTCAACTTTGTTCTGAAAGTTTTCTTATAATTTTTTCAAAGCTTTGAATGCGGTATACTCGATGAGCAAGTTGGCACGATTTTCCTTCCTTAGACAAACCTGAAAGAAGCGGGAGCAGGTCAAGATATCAACGTTCACATGGAATATGCTCTGCAGTTGTTCAGGAAGTTATTGTAACGAAAGCGAGAGCCTTGGGTATGATGAGAGTGGTGGTCGGATATCGGACGTTGCCACCGATTAGCCAAAAGTTCTGATTGAAGGCACTCGTGCGTAGGACCATTAAGGAGGTTCTGCCCAACCTGGACGTATATGGTTTGTGAAGCCAAGTTATACGGAAGTAGTTGTATAAAGCGTGAAGCAAGTTATACGAAGTAATAAAGTAAAAGGATAAAGCATTTGCCGTTGATCAATCCCTTTTTGGGATGCGGCACGCATTCTACTTCCATTTGTACATTCGTAGTGGCGTTTGAATGCGATGTGGCCTATACAATGACTTGCGGGGGCCAGCCGATGTACAAGTCAGTGTTTTTATCCTCCCAGACAAGTCTGGTACCAATTAACCGACCCCGGAGGGATGGAAGGCTTGGTTGGCCCGGGCGACTCACGACCCAGGATTTGATCCCCGGACCGCTCGCGTGGTAAGCGTGCCACTTGCCACGCGAGCGGTCCGGGATCAAATCCTGGGTCGTGGGGGTCGGTTAATTGGTACCAGACTTGTCTGGGAGGATAAAAACACTGACTTGTACATCGGCTGGCCCCCGCAAGTCATTGTATAGGCCACATCGCATTCAAACGCCACTACGAATGTACAAATGGAAGTAGAATGCGTGCCGCATCCCAAAAAGGGATTGATCAACGGCAAATGCTTTATCCTTTAAAAGTAGCTGGAAAGTCCAAAATATTTCATAAGGGCGTGCCGCGACAATTCACCAATTTGAAGGGTCATCCATCAATTTCTAGCTTTTTTGATGAAGAGTAACACGCAATTCCACTGATTTGCAGTCCCATGAAGAAAAGGGATCCTTGTATACAGTCACGAAACTTTGCTGAATAGATCGACAACAACGAAGCGACCAAGCTCAAGAAATTTTGCAAAACTCAAACTGTGCTGAAGTAGGATAACAACCTTCATTAGGTCAGCGGCTGGCCATGTTCTTTCGTATCAGGTGGAACTGTTATAGTAAAAAAGCAATCATGAAAGCGCGTCAAAAATCACTAAAAACTGGGACATGCGTCCAGCATTCCTCATTATGAAAAGAAGGACATCCGACAGATGTCTTGAACCCGCCGTCCATCGCAAACCCTGCACAAAGTCGGACCAGCTAGGCTACAGAGTGATGCTGCGGACATCTTACTCAATAGACCCCAGAGGTCTCTCAATTTTCACTTTCCCAAGGATCTCGATGGCTTCCTTGGAGAAAGATGCTTCCAAACCCAACAGATGCTGGAACGACCTTCCCTCAGTTCATCGCCTTTAGAGCTCCAGCATTCTAAACAAACGTACCCACGAAAACTGTCTCTTACAGCAAAAAGTTTCGCGCACATTCTGCCGGTTTTTTCTTTAACTTGGAAGTTTGGTTTGAGCCGAGACACTGTATTTGAAATCCAGGGTTGAAAAACGACAGAACTTCTTGAAAGCCTGATAGTTTTGACATGTTTTTGATTGTGTCAAACTGTGTGTTTTGGCACAACTTGCCTTGCGAAAGTTTTGAAAGTGATGGGCTATCCTACCAACTATAAAGCGCTTCGTCTGTCGTTCTGTATGTCTGTCACGAAATTCCCTAGCTCCTCGGGATCCGCCTGGAGGGACAGGGTCAAGTGTGGGACGGGTGGGCAAGGTCTCACGAAGTACAAAACACACATCAGCTAAGCGGAGCCCCGCCCACAGTGGGCGTGGCGTGCGTCGACATGAAGTGTACTGACGACCGAGATTTTAATTCTCTTAGAAAACGACCTTGAAACTGGGCCAAAAAGTGGTAAAGGTGTGCATTGGTAAGTCACATCGAATTAGGGAGACCCACCCCCGGTGGGCGGGGCGTTCTCCAAAAAAGCAGTGCTTTATGAAAAATTTCATAACTCGGTTGGGAGAAAGCCTACAGAGCAGAAAACAAATTGGTGTAAGGGAGCAATGTCTAAGGTGTTTCCCATACATGACGTGGGGGAGGCCTGCCCAGAATGGGCGGGGCGCGCTCTGAAGTGTACAGCATTTTCTACAAGCCCTCATAATTCGGGTCGGGGAAGTCCTTAAAGAGCCGGAAAAAGGTGGATGGAGGTGGGTGGAGGAGTGGCCAGCTGTCATGGTGGGCGGGGCTTGACCAAAGTGGGCGGAGTTTGCGACGAAAATTCATAACTCGGCTCCAAGAAGTCCCGGAGGCCGGGAAAAAGGTGGATGGAGGTGGGTGGAGGAGTGGAGGCCAGCTGTCATCGGTGGGCGGGGCTTGACCAAAGTGGGCGGAGGTTGCCAAAAGGGTCGCAATTCGGTTCGAGAAGTCCTAGAGATAGAGGAGAACGGGGTTAGAGGTCGGCGAAAGGAAGGGGGCCAAATGCTATTGGTGGGCGGGGCACGCACCGAAGTAGGCGGAGTTTGCCACGAGATTTATTGTCCGGAAGCAGTCCGGAGACCGGGAAAAAGAGGATAATGGTTGACGAAGAAAAAGAGGTTGAAAGCCGTCGATGATGGAGCGGATAGAATTTAGCTGAGAATTCAGATATTCGTGGTGTATCAAGCCAAATTTGAAAATTTTCGTCGCACCATCAAAATTCGCCGCAGATCTGTGTTGTGCGCGCAATGCGTGCGGCGCCAACTGGCATCGTAATAAATGTCGTCACATGTGGGACTCGAACACCGCAAACCTCGGTACCGAGCAGGCACTACGAGTTACGCTACCGGGACAAAGAACTCAAAATTAATTGCTAAAGCTGTCAGCATTGCGGTCAACTGCCGATGTTTGGATAATCGGCTCAACACGTTATGCGTGTGAGTGCTGACAAGCTATGGTAAGTACACCATGAAAAACTGAGTTGGATGAGATGGTGCCCGGTAGTGTAACTTGTAGCGCACTTGCCCTAAGCAAGAGCTACAGGTTCGAGTCTCGTCGGGGCAAAATTTTTGTTCACAATCCAGATTCTTGAGAAGTAGCACACTTTTCATTAGTGGCACGTTGGTCGGAAAGCCGAAGCTACGATTTGGGATGGGAAGAGGCATGGGACAGAGATGTACGGAACACGCATGAGCTAAACGGAACTCCGCTCACAATGGATGGGGCATGCACCGAAATGGTGGCGTCAGCGAAGGGAAATTTCGCTTTTGATTCCATATAATCTGAGAAAAAAATGGTTGTAAAAGAACAATGCCTATAGTGCTGCCAGCGCACTTGTAGTGGGCGGAAGCCCGCCCCAGTGTAAACGGCGGAGAGTGTCACGGACTACAAAAAATTTGTTCCCAATCTTGCCCCCGAATGGCTGGGGTACCAAAGCGGCAAGCCCTGACCAAAAAGAAGCAGCTGGCGTCCCGCTCTGGCTGGTTGGAGCTGCAAACCAATGTGGACGAGCACAACAGCTGAGATTCGAAAAGCGGTTACAGCTGCTCGAAAGCCAGGAAAGAAACAGAGACTAACACGCAACAAGCTGTCATGTTGGCCGGAGGAAGACTGAAAATTTCGGTTGCTCTGTTCAGCATCGCTGAATCCCCGTGGAGCGCACTCGTTAGTATGGGAACGCTGGTGTGCAAAACATTAAGGAAGAACGTAGCTTTTCCATGATGTGTTACTGGCGAGTAACATAACTCTATGGAACCTAACCACACAGAGAAGAGCTGCTACAGTGCAGTACAGAAAGCAGTTGACAGAAACCGTCAAACGGCGCACAAAGCTATCGGTAAGTTATGTTACCTCATCTACCTTGTCCTTAAGTTTTGCACACCAGTGCGTAATAGATGCAAACAGACCCGTAGATCAGTATTATGTACCTTTCCTGTCTAACACTCGATGTCAGTGTTCAAGGGAGCTGTCTGTTTCATTCTTAGAGAAGATTCAAGTTACGAAATATCCCCAATTTACCTTCATGAAGTTCAGATAATTAAGAAACCAGTTATCGGAAGTGGTTGAGGGAAAACTTTGAAGAGCCTGAGAATTTACTGAACCAACTACAACCGCGGCCATGTACCAGAAGTGGCCATGAACCTCTATCGAAACCTCACACGAAAAAGCGTTCCAAGCCCAACAAGAAAAGCATGGCTTGCGCCTATTGGACCCGCACAGCTTGACCTCTTCCTGTACAACTACCGCTTCAGCCAGCACCAGCCAACCCGCCTGGAAACAGTTGGAGAAGGAAAACGAAGCCAAAAAGGCACACGGCAACTTTCTGAAAACCCAATTCCCGTCATTTTCGAAGGAAATGTCAACAAGCTACAAGAACACGGGCGTCTTATACAGACGGGGATTTCTGCACACCTTTGATCTCCAACAAAGAGTCTGACAACAAATTTTTCGAATAACTCAACACGCAAATCACTCGTACAAAATAGAATTTAACATACCTTCCCGATATGGTCATGAATACCGCCTTTATTCATTCCATCCAGAGTGGCATCTAGCATGTGACGGCAAATTTCTCGTTCCGAGTCCTGTCCTGGACCAGGAGAAATGGTTGATCAGAAATTCGAGATCACCTGGATATTGAACATTTGTTGCATTGGATGCACTCGTTTAGTGTGTTTGTGACTACACACTCATGTTAATGCATATCCATCCATAACTATAATAGATAAAGCGTTGGATCCGTCTGTCTGGGTGTGGTGTCTGTTGCGAGATTCGGTAACACCTAGAAACCTGCCTTGCGAGTCCGGGTCAAATTTGGGTAGAGTGCGGCATGGAACAGGATGAGCGGAGCAGAATGAGCTCGGCAGTACCTTGCTCCGCAATGGGCTGCCGTCGACGAAATTTACGGATTTGACTACAAAACAGACTGGGGAAGATGGATGAAATTGTACATGGGAAATGAGAATGGACCCTGAAAATTGCGGTAGGCCCACCGTCCTCTGATAACCAATGCTCAATAAAAAATCCGTAACTCCTTATATATAATCCCCACATTTGTTAGCGGTTAGGTTTATCCGTGCTCCCTATCACATAGTGTGATATGAAAAAGGCACATAGAATAAACGCCGAGAGATAGACACACCTACAGACCTACAGAGCAGACCGACAAGCACATATCGAGAAAGTGGCTTAGGTCGAGGCAGGGGATTCGTTTCTGACCATCACGGTCACGTTCTATTTTTCTTTTTCTGCAAGGTTTTTATTGAAGGTAAAATGCATCACCGTATCCTATCACCTATGTGTGGGTTGGTGTTCAACGTATCTTTTGCAGAAAGGCATTGACTTCATGCCAAATAAATACTGGATGTCGATTTTGAAATGTTAGGTTTTTCAAACGCTACAGCTGTATTTGCAAGCCGATAAATGAGCTAGGGAAAACATAAGAACGGCAAGAATCTACATCACTAACAAATACTAGACAAAGTGCCTTTTCTTCAGAAAGTTAGAGAAAAAAATCAATCCAAATTCGTTACTCACATGCCTTCGGAAACTTGGGTGCGTTACCAAATCCCCCATAAATTTCATCGAAACTTGATACTTTATACTGGAATGCGCCATTTGCGACTGTATCGAAAGGAGGACTGTCACCATGTGCATACGTTGCACCTAAATAAGGAGAATGTTTAGCATTGAATGGACTTCAGAAAAACAAACTTTACCCCAATTCATACCTACCGCTCTTCATAGCATCAGTAATCTTCTGCCCATGCTCACCAATGGCCTTTCGGGAGCGCTCGTTGTTCCACTAAACGAAGGAACCATTTACGATTTTTTTTCGCAAAACGATCCACCAATGCTGGGAAAAGAGCCTGACCGAAACTGACTAGACAATGGAGCACTCAAATGAGGTGCACGTTTGACAGTAGCAACGAGTCATACTACAAACCTCGGTCGGGAGGCTTACAATGCGATGAACACAACACTGACAGAATCTTACTATTCTTTATCACAAGATAGTCACTCACCTTTTCTGAAACAATTTTCAGAACTGAAGGTAGTCCCAAGCTTCCGAGCGAGTCACGCGGTGGGAAGTATGTCCCACCCGTTATTGGATCCAATTCTGGCGTGAGAAACACGGTCATCGGCCATCCGCCAGATCCAGTGGTTGCCTTGAACACTTGGTAGAAAACTAGGGACATAATTCCATTTCTTTATTTTATATCTTAGCTATATTTTATGACGCATATTACAGAACCGAGCTAAGAATGAGGATATTAGGAAAAAAAAGCATAAGCAGTATAATCACTGCAAGCAAGGGTATGGTTCACTAGGACAGAAAGACTTTTTCGCGTTTCGGACGCGAAACATTTTTTGCTGCAGGAACTTCAGGCCCGTCGCTGATCGCGAGTGAACCTGGAGTTTCCGCATACCCGCGATGCGGTGTCCACTGCCCATTGCGCCTTGCCGCCCCCCCCCCCCCGCCGTGCGGTTAGGACCAGGAGCGTATATAATTAATCACTATGAGCCGATAACTCTACCCCTGACAGCCGGTGATAGGTTGGTACGAGATAGAAGAAAACTAGGACGTCCCCAGTACGAGTCGACAGAATGAGAGGAAGTTGAGGTCTAGTATGTCATGGGGCTCACCTCTGAAAGAGGTAACTCATGGAGTCGGCATAGTGCTGTGTGCCTTTAACAAATGTCTAATAACACTTGCACTGTGCTGTGTTGCAAGATGTGTGGCCTTAATTCTTTATATAGCACGTACAAGCGTACTCGGGTTGTGCCACATTGCGAAAATGATAACGCGTGGAGCAGAGCTCCACCTAAAAGCTAGCGCTATCGCTTTCTTCAAAATAGTTACCAGAGCACATAAAAGGACTACT